CCCCCCCCCCCATCAAGCAAGGCATTGCCTGTACAGTTGCTTTATTCATTCATGGGGATCTGTGTATAGCAAGAAAAAAGAAACCTTGCTGCACTCCTTACCGGGATTCCCATGTGAATATACAAGCGGCTGCTCGAAATGACTGCGGATGGCACCGCCACATGTAGATAGTTGAAGAATGTCACCAACACACCAAACGATGATTACAGCAATTAACTGTTCATTTATTGATGAATGCTGTCCCTCATTAGCAAAAGAGACAGCATTCGTCATTAAATGAACACTTAATTGCTGTTATCATGGTTTGGTGTGCTGGTGACATTCTTCAACTATCTGTGTATAGCAAGACTACAAGCCTGCCATGTCAGCGGAAGGACTCGCAGATCGAGCGCTCATGTCACTGCGCTTGTAGTTCATTGTTTACTTCCTCCAGCCCCATAACAGAAGGCATGTACAGACCTGGGGCTGGGCAGTAAACCATGCAGGAGTCTGTGTCTGTTATTTTGTAGGGATGCACCGATACCGTTTTTTCGTTATCGAGTACCAATGCTTTGCTTTCGGTACTCGCCGATACTAGTACTGATAGCGGTGCTTCTGCTGGCATGGAGCAGGCTTCCTGGACAATCAGGAGGCCGGGTGGTGGGGAATGACATAACGCCCGACTTTCTCATTGCCCGGGAAGCCGGCTTGATTGTGATTGGCTGGCTAACAGGCTTCCCAGCCAATCAGCTTCAAGTTGGCTGTTCGGCCTGCATGATGCTGATTGGCCGGGAAACGGAAACCGGCCTCCCGGCCAATCAGGAAGCTGGTAGGCGCATCATTACTCGCCGCCCAGCTTCCTGATCACACGGTAAGCTGATAACACGGTCGGTAGTTCCCCTACGGCACTGCCGATCAGAGGAAATCTTCCTCTGACCGGAAAGTATCGGAGCATTTGGGCGAGTATGGTATTGGTGCATCCCATATATCTATATCTATATAGATATATATCTATCTATCTATATATATATCAGGGATGCACAAATCTCAGGAGCTCCGTGTGCTCCTTAAAAATTACAGCTGCCTCCTAACTTTTGAGTTTTTCTCTAGACCTAGTCTTGGAGCTGGAAAAGTATCTGTACTTGTACGAAGTACGGTATTTGGTATCTGAACTTCCCTACAACCATTGGACAATTAAAAAAAAAAATTTTTTTGTCCCGACATCGCACTCTCGTCCGATTTTTGTTCAAATAGCCCATCATGCACAGACCAATGTTGTTTACGATTATCGTTCGTCAGCAATACTAACTGGCCGAATTTCGTCCGAAACGCCACTAATCCATCGATTTTCGGACGCTTCAACAAAAGTTTTCTAGTCTGCCCGTTCAACCAAATTCGGCCAGTTATACAGTAATTGCGGTTGTGCACATCCCATCAACTGGCCGATTATCGTCTGAAACCGCGATCGCGGACGAAAATCGAACCATAATTGTAAGGTGTATGGGCACCTTAAGGCTCCATTTACACCTGAGCGTGTGCATTTCAGTATGTTGTTGGCGTGTTTTTTCGCACGTTCATACGCATGGACAAAAACTTGCAAATTTTAACGGACACGTGGTTTTTCGAGCGTTCGCCCCTACAACCACAATCCGTGGCAACCAACCAGAAAATTGTGCATGTACCTTTTTATCACGTTGTGCGGTTTTGTCCGCGTATACAAACGCGCAGGTGTGAATTTTTCACATTGGAATGCATTGACTTTTTTTGTGTTTTGCGCGTTTCCGAGCATATAGATACCTGCAGGAAACGCACCAAAGTCAATGAAAAAAAAATGCTCAGGTATGAACCAGGCCTACAGTGGTAAGGCTGTTGATTGTTGTTAAACAACTTTTTTTGTTGCCAGTTATCCAACAAAACTAAAATTACCATTGTCGTAAACAAGATGCCTTTGGCTAACAGACAATTGAAGAATTGCGGCAAAGTGTAAAGCTGGCCATACAAAAAATCTTGTCTGAACATTCCATAATGCCGTCAGGGACTTGACAAATGTTGTTCAAAATTTAGTTTGGTTTTAACACTCGATTTTGCAATAAATGGAGTTTCTCAAGCAAAAACCACATTAATTATTAGATTTCTGTTCATTCGAGAAAAATGTTCCATCCTGCTCCTTCGATTTGTTTTTCATAACTTTGGTCGAAATCGATCGTGGATTTCACCCCAATGAACTATTAGAGGATTGAATGAACGTTCTCAAAATTTATTTTTCCAAACAAAATTCTGCTGGTGTATGGCCAGCTTTACATTTACCCAAAAAAATTAGTATGTGCTATTGCTAGTCTACATGAGCATCACCTTACTGGTCACCTATTGCTACAGCATTAATGAAAACTGATGCTGAAGCCCACATTTAGTTCTACAAGTGCAAAACAAATTTTATGTTGAGTGCTTCTGTGTAACAAGCATTGTACTACTGTAAATTGTTTCTGTCGCAGGCATTAGGGGATCCTCAGTTTGGGCATTTACCACTGGTATTAACCTCTGGTGAGAAAACGATGTAGACTGTTAATGGAAACCTTCTGAAGATATTAGTTACCTGGCTGTCATGGTAGTCCAATGTCCATCATATCTTCTGGGTTACTATCCTAGCACCACCACCATGTAGATCTTCTCACTTGCTGTCCTAGCACCGCCGCCATGTAGATCACACTCGCTGTCCTAGCACCGCCACCATGTAGATCTCCTCGTTCGCTGTCCTACAAAAATTAACGATTAATCGTTAATTTCCGCAGCCCTACTGAATTGGAGGTGACAGTGTCAATAAAGAGAACCTGTCACCTCCAAATGCTATCACACAGGAGCTTGTTGGCTCCTGTGTAATAGCAATGAAGTTAAGTGGAAAAAAATTGTCACATTAAGTGAAAAAAAAATTGTCCAAAAATAAGAACATAATTAAAAAAGTTAAAAATTATCAAAAATAATTAAAAATGGAAGTAGATAAAAATGTAAAAAATAAAAAGGCGATAAAGCAAAAAAATTATAAAATAAATTTAAAATGTTTTACAAAGTAAATAAAAATTAAAACCAACCCCGCTGCCCCCACCATCTGCAGGCGAATAAACACATGCATAGGGCATTGTGTGTGTGAGCGGAGTGGGCGATCCATGACCGTGCGGCTGGTATGGGCGGTCATGGAATCGCACACCACCGCCGATCGTGCTGGCAGTGCCATTTTTTTCTAACTGCACCCCAGTCGCACCAGGCATGCAATCACGGTGCATTGTCACGAAAAAAGGTAAATGTACCTTTTTTCAGCAATTGCCAAGTGGATGTAACCCCATCAATGGGGCCACGCGGCAACCGCTGTATGCACCCGCTCATGATCGCCCAAGTCTGCACCAACCCTAAAGGGTAAATTCACTTTCCCAAGTCATTTTGAGGAAAATTTAATTACCCGCACAAATCTGGTCACTTCTCCTTTCCGCTATACTTACCTTTCAGTGAACGGTCCTTCCTGTCCACCAGTATGGGTGTACTATCTGTACCTGTGCCATGCATTCTGAATTTCGCTCGCAAATTGCAAGCACTTGTTGGTCAGCGCGGTGCTGACCAATGAGAAGCACTACATGGTACTGCTAAATACAGTTTTGGTTAAAATTATTTTTTTTGTATCAGGACAAGTAGATTGTCATGAGGGACAAGTAGATCAGGCCCCTTGTCCTTGGGGTCCTTAGTCCTTGGACAAGTAGTTTTTTTAAAAATGTCCACACCCCTGAGTAAATATACTCCTTCGACGAAAAAGAATACTAAAGCAATAACAAAGTTTTGAACAGAGCCTTTTAGTTGTTTACTCTCCTCCTTACTACACTGCTTTGTTATGTACAATGAGAAGGCAGCATATGTTTTCAGCATGATAATTTTTTTTGCATAATAATAATTTTTGACCTGTTACCTCCTAATTACCCAAAACATTTTCATAGATGGACAAATAAGGAGACATAAGTTGTTACACAGGTAAGCCTGCACATTTATGATAATTTAGGGCTAGTTTAAGGGGATTCATGCATTGAAAGTTAGCTAGTAAGCCTTACAGACCTGCATTGTTTAAGGCCCCTTTCATTTGGGTGCCTGTCCGTTCCGAACATGGATCCCCCGCTGATCGGAGTAGCTCGGAACAGATGTCACCGTTGTGACATCCTTGTCCACCCATTTTTCTTCTTCATCTTGTGATGGAGGTAAAAACTGAAATTACTGCACCCATGTTCGGACTGTGGGGAATTGAATGTAAATTGGCTTATGTCCGTTTACATTAGATTACCCCCCGATTTGTCATGATGAGGTTCGCCAAAACAGTTTTCCAGACCTGGTCAGAGCTGGGGGTAATCAGATGTAGGGATGCACCGATACTGGTATCGGTATCAGATGCCTAGTATTTGGGCGAGTACTCGTACTCACCCAAATGCTCCGATGCCTAGCCCGATACTTCCGGTATCAGGAAGCCAGGCAGCGCGTCATTACACGCTGCCTGGCTTCCTAATTGGCCGGGAAGCTGACTCCATGCTCTCTTGTCACTTGTGACGAGAGAGCATGGAGCCGGCTTCCTGGCCAATCAGGAAGCCGGGCAGCGGGCAATGACGCGCTGCCCAGCTTCCTGATTGGTTGGAAGCTGGCCAATCAGGAAGCAAGGCGCTGCATCACCTAGTGACGAGAAGCATGGGGATGGCTTCCCTGCTAATCGGGAAGCCGTGTGGCGAGTATTTACATGCTGTCCGGCTTCCCGGCTAATCAGAAAGCCAGGTGGCGAGTCATTACACGCCGCCTGGCTTCCTGAATGGGACTTCCGGTATTCGGTATCGGCGAGTACCAAAAAAAAAAATATTGTTACTCGTACTCCATACCAAAATACCGGTATCGGTGCATCCCTAATCAGATGTAAATGGACACAGGTCCGTTTAGATCCGGCTACCCATAGACTAACACTGGGCTTCAAATCCGCTTGAAAAACTGACCGGAGGACCTGATCGGACTACCCGTCTGAAAGGGCTCTAGTGCAATCAGCATGAAAGCTAGTATGTGGTTGTATATGGTTCCATTGCTAATAATGGGCTGTATTTTAGCTATGGTTTCTGTTTCATCAGACCACATCTAAAAATGCAGTTGTATGAAGGAGTCCTTGTGGCACTGGCTGCATTTCCAGTTGAAGAGAACTACAGTGGTACCTCGGTTCACAAACTTAATTCGTTCTGCGATTTTGGTTGCAAACCGATTTGGTCGTGAACCGAATCACACTGTGATCAGACCGTGATCTCGACTAGAGGAAGCCATGACTATTTGTCAGAGCAAGGAAAATTGCTGCGGTTGTGTTCGTCACCCGAAGCGGAGTTTGCGAACGGAAACAAAATTTAGCCGAACTTCCTGTTCACGAACCGAATTGTTTGCGAACAGAAGCGTTCGTGAACCGAGGTACCACTGTAGTGAGAAACATGTCTTCATTTGTGTGTGTTTCACTAGTTAAACTTCATCGATCAGCAGGACGGGTGTGCGCTGCTTTTTGCTATATTTTCCATCATTTCTGCAGAAAGATTCTAAAAATAGTGCAACCAGGCTAGTGGTTAGCAGAATATTACAAATCTTTGAGTTCTCCTTATTGAAACACAAAGGGGTCCATAACAAGGTGCTAAGTTTTTCTGAAGCCCCTAAAGGTTTTTCCGTACAACCCCCACCAACACCACATTGTTTGAGCCCTTGAATTCTTCTATTTGGTCTGTTGCTGGACCACTCATTGCACTTTTACCTCACTCTTAGAGATCGTCTGTCCACCTTTTTGAAAATATTGTCTTTGGTTGAGTCACTGCCTTTAATCTAAGGACAATTTTGTTGCAGGGCCGAGAGTTCTGCTTTGGTGAAGACCGGAAGCCTTACAGATGTGAGATAGGATACTGCTGTGGTGATACAGAGTGCTGCACTTACTACTATGAGCTGTGGTGTAAGTCTGTAGTGAACTCGGCGTCGGTGATGTGACGACACTAGGAAGTCTACATTAATGAACATTGTTGGCTGAGTTAAATAGTCTCATACTTTCAACAAAAATCTCTCCACAATAGTATATTTGTATATTTTAATGTCAAATTTGCATGTTCTTTAACTGTAATGTTCACACCATGTCTGGAGCAAATCTACAAATGCAGTGCATTTTCCCTGTGTTCTGGTGCGGTTTTTTAGTTTAAAATGGGCTTTCAGGTGCGTTCCAGTTAGGGATGCACCGATATATCGTCCGCCAAAACATATCGGCCGAAAATTGAACTTTTGGCATAATGCCAAAAGTGTAATTTTCCTGCCTATACATCGGCATATCCGTGATTTCTTTTCTCCCCGCTGGGCGCTGCTCTATGTCCCAGCGGGGAGAAGAGAAAGTGACAGTCGGCCGAGCGCTGCGGTTGAGAGCACTGTGAATGGCCGGCGTCTCCTCCCACACCGCTCTGCCGCCTATCACAGTCCGGCAGAGCGGTGTGGGGGCGGAGACAGCGCTGTCACAATGGTATTGGTTTCGACCTGACTTTTTTTTTTTTAATTTCGGTTTCGTTTCGGTTTTAAAATTTCCATTTCGGTGCACCTCTAGTTCAAGTGTTTATATGTGTTTTGGTGCGTTCCAGACCGGGAAAAACAGTGCAGCATTTTTTTCCCCTGCATCAGAATGGATGGCACTGGTGTAATCAGAGCCCAGAAATACCATAGGAATACATTGGGATGCATGTCGGGTGCAGACAAAAACTGTTTTGGTCTGGATCTGGTCCGGACATGGTGTGAACAAGCTCCAAAAGCCCTGAGACTACTGCTGGATGCTGCCATCTTGGATGTGAGGTCAGCTGACTTGGAGCTGCGACACTATGGCTGGGGTAGCCAAAATTAGTCCCTCCAGCTGTGGGGAAACTACAAATCCCTTCATGCCCCTGCCTCTGGGAGTCATGGCTGTCAGAGTCTTGCAATGCCTCATAAGAATTGTAGTTCCACAACAGCTGGAGGGCCAAAGTTTGCCTACTAGGGCTGCAACCAATTATTATTTTCATAATCGATTAGTTGGTTGATTATTTTTTTGATTAATCGGATAAAATAAAACTATAAAATACGATCCTTAATTTAAAATACATAAATACAGTGTTACCAACAAAGTTTACAAGGCACAATTTTTTGTAATTGCATGGAACGCACAGCACTGTGGTACAGTGCGTTCCAGTGCGGGTGATCACAGGGGGCGAGAGGTGCATTTGGGGTGCCATTGAAATGAATGGCACTGCAACGCACCTCCTGCGGCAGAATTTGTCAGACTGAAACCGAAAATGACTTTTCCCACCTTTTTTTTAACATTTTTTTTATTGTATTGTAAGCAAATGGCGCTTAAATAGCTTCAGCCTGTGAATGACAGCTGCCAGTGGCAAGATTCCGAAGAGGGCAGCTGAATGTAAATACAGCAGGTATTGGGCTGGTGCAATAGCCAGCCTGCTGTTGGCCATTTCAAATTGTAATAGCCAATAGCAGGCTGGCTATAGCACCTGCCCACTGCTTGGTGTGCCCTCCTCCCAGCATGGACGAGAGAGCTAGGGGACCCAACCAACTAATCGATAATGAGAATAGTTCCAAATAGTTCCACTTCGGCCCTCCAGCTGTGCTGAAACTACAAATCCCATGATGCATCTGTCTCTGGGTATCATGGCTGTGGGAATCTTGCAATGCCTCATGGGATTCGTAGTTTTACCACAGCTGGAGGACCGGAGTTTGGTTACCCCCTGCTCTATAGTATTCCCCTTCACTCCTCCCCTGGAAGCTACATAAAAGGTCATGTAGGTAGCGGAGGGTTGGGGTAGCTAGATCAGCACAGACAGTAATTATACACTGGCAGACAAGTAGAAACAGAAGGGAGGGAGGGAGCTGTGTTAACGAATTGACGCTTCTGGAGTAGTCAATTTTTTTAGCACGTTCAAGTGAATATAAAAAGTTTTTATGGAAAAGAAAAACACTGCTAGTAAGCAATTTCAATACTTGATCCATTGCATTTTCTGTTACAGGTTTTCAGTTTTAATTCTAGTATGGCTTGCTTCCTTTTAGGGTTCTGGCTGGCCTGGACGCTCATCATCTTGGCAGGCTGCTGCTGTGCATATCGCCACCGTAGAGTAAAACTCAGACATCAGCAGGAGCTGAGACAACGTGAGATCAGCCTTATGGCCTACCAGGGGGTCGCTCCATCTGCCTCTGTTGTAACTGCCTTAGGTAATTTCCAACCTCTGTTACATGTGTTGTATAATGGGCCTCTGGGGATTGCTGCAATAATGGCTTGTGAATCGCTTAGGTTCTGTAAATGGCTTATGGGTAACCCTGAGTCATCTTAGTCAGACCTACACAAATCTCAGGGCTGGGGAGCCAGTGCACCTAAAAATGCTTGGTAAGTGTAGTGATAAAATTTAAATAATAGTAAAAATAAAATATCTATCTAGACATCCGGTCACGGCACCAATGTAGTAATCAAATAGTCGGGTGTATAAATATATAAACAAACATATATATTTATGTGCGTTGTGAAAATTGGATCTTCAGAAAATATCCAGGCAACCTCAGTTCTTTTCCAGAGAGTAGCGTTTAATTGGATCGAAGTAACAGATGAACAGAAACAGTCCGATAGAGTAATAATAAAAAATAAAATATCTAGACCTCAGATGACAAAGGTTCCATAAGGACCCACTCCACCCAACATATATTTCTAATCTATCTAGAGCTGCAGCTAACGATTATTTTCATAATCGATTAGTTAGCCGATTATTAAGTTCGATTAATCGGATAAAAAATAAAATACATTTTAAAAAATGGCTCCAGTGATGGGACCACTAGTTTGTATTGAGATTGCAGTCCATCACAGGAGCAAGCTTGGAGCGGTGGAAGTAAAAGTGTGGTGCGCAGCGTGGAGCCGTGGACAGGGCCAACCAATCGGAAGCCGATTAATCGATGATTGAAAAAGTTGACAACTTTTTCAATAATCGATTATGTCGATTAGTTGTTGCAGCCCTAAATCTATCTATGCACCTATGTGTCTCTCTTCATGACTCATCTTTTCTAGCCACTGTATGCTCTCTATTAATATACAGTTTAGTGCCATTCACTAACACTGAAAGGATTTTTGATTGGCTGGTCTAATTACCCCTTTGATGTTAGTTAACTAAACAGGTTTTGACAGAATTCCCTACAGCTGTTTCATTGTGTACAATCAACAAAACAGGATGGTCAACTGGTCAATAAACTTACACAATAAAAATCTAGTTAGCATATGTGTGTTAAATAACATCAGCCAAAAAATGTTCTGCAATACATAGGCACACACCCTAAATATACTCCTAATATATCTACTTTAATCATAATTTACAACAGTAAGTTGGTAGCTAAATTTGTAAATCTGATCAACAAATTTCATGTCCTACATTGCACAATGCTAAATGTTTGATGTGGGTCCTGTTCTCTGCATCAGTCTGAAATAAAGGGAGCTGGAGTGCATTCCGTTCAGTAAGACCATGCAAAGAACAGTATTGATGTGTAGTGCAGTAAACCATAAAAGATCTCCATTCAGTGTACAACAATCTGAAACTTACTGCATGCTGTCCTAGCTTACTTTGCTTCCAATATGTTTTTACTGGCTGCTCTACAAACTTATACAAGCCAAATCCCTGTGTACAAGGTCTAAGATCTCTGTTCACAGCTTATTAAATGCTATGTAAATGATGCTTCTTGCACCCATGCGATTAGGGCCTCAAAAGGGTAATTCCACTTTCCTAAGCAAATTTTGGAATATGGAATTACCCCAACCAATTTGCCCCCCTCCTGCTGCTCTTACCTTTGAAAGAACGCATCATCTGCTCTGCGGTTCCTGGTAGGAATACACCAATACTAGTCTGCAAGAACAACAGAAATGCTATTCATTTTTGTTTAAACTGACTTTATGTATTATTTGTATAGATGCACCGATACCGAAATTAGTATCGGTGCCAATACCGAGTATTTGGGTGAGTACTCTGATACTTACCCTCGTTACTGTAGCTTTCGGTCAGAGGAAATGCCGCGAGGGAACATGGAGCCAGCTTCCTGGCCACTCGGGAAGCAAGGTGACAGGTAATGATTGGCCAGTAAGCTGGCTCCATGCTGATTGGCCGGCTCCATGCTGATTGGCTAGGAAGTGGATTGGCCGGCCAAACAGCCAGCTCAATGTTGATTGGCTGGGAAGCTGGTTTCCCGGCCAATCAGCATGGAGCTGGGCAATCAAGAAGGCGGCCAGCGTGTCATTACCCGCCGCCTGGCTTTTCGAGTGCCCCGGAAGCCGCCTTCATGTTAGCGGAAGTATCGGTACTCGGTATCTGCGAGTACCGAAATATAAAAATCGGTACTAGTACTCGATGCCGAAAAACCGGTATCAGTGCATCCCTAGTTCCTGGTGTACTCTCCATACACTGTACACAACATCGCAGCCCTGCACTAGATATTTCAAATTACCCTTGCAAACGGAGAGCATTCCGTGGTCAGTATGGTCACCTGACCATGCTGACCAATGAGAAGTGCTTCTCATTGGTCAGCGTGTTAAGCGCTTCACATTGGTCAGCGTGGTCAGGTTACTGTGTTGACCAATGAGTGCTCACCATTTGAAAAAGTAATTTGAAATCCATAATGCATGGCTGTGATGCTGTCTACGGGGGTACAGATTGTACACCGGAAGCTGCGTTCTTTCAAAGGTAAGAGCAGCGGGAGGAGGAAGAAGGGGCAGATTGGTGGGGGTAATTATATTTTTCCAAATTCATCGTGGAAAGTGGAATTACCCTTTAATCGTGTGTTTATTGCACTAAACATTTGTTGTTCAAATATTTTCCTATGTATGTACTATTTTACTTTTGTTTATAATGCCCACTTTGTACAGTGCCACTGGATATGATGAACTATATAAATATTATATGCCCCATATAACAATATACAACCAGTATAAGCCAGTGTGCTTTGTATAGGCAACTGTGATGTAGTGGTGGCATATTTTCCATGTCTTGACTATTTCTACAGAGGCCTGGCCAACCTGCAAACTGCCAACATATGAAGAAGTGACCCAGGACCCACCCACCCCTCCACCACCCTATTCTGAGATTTTGGAGGAGACTGTCACAGGTGAACAGAGCCACACTCTTCCTGCAGTTAGTGCAAGATCTAAACTTACAAAACTATCTCAGCAAGAGGGAGCATCGCCCGAAGAGGTATCTACAGCAGATCATCTTCAGTATCGACATGACTATACAGATCAGGAGAGTGCCAGTGCCTTGGAGAGGAGACGCCACATCACAGGGGATTCAGGAATCGTCCTTTGTGATGAGAAAATCATGTGCTTGAGCGGGAGAGAAGACGAGACTGACCTGTGTAGGGGCGGATACGTCCACATGGAGACAGAAGAGATAGACAGACAGGGGAATACTTAAATTCTGGTTCAGAGAATTAATTGGCTTAAATGGAAACTTGATGTGATGAGGTTTGGAAGCTGACGCTACTGACCTCTCCTCGTACTAGGTCTCTGGCTGCTTTGCTGAATCAATGGCTTTATTACTTTCTAAGTCATTAACTTTGAACATGTATGCAGATTAGGAGTTATGCCCGCCCTCTGACTTTCGTAATCTGCATGCTTGCCTCAGGCCAATGTCTCGAAATTTTAAAAGCAGATACCCAGGCAGCTAGCTAAGAGGCCATCATTGGCAGTCTCCCATACTTCCATCACTACAGGTTTCTATTAATGGGCAATACATGGTGGTAAGGGGCGCTATCCTATGGACATTTATTTACAAGGGCTGTTACACCAGGGGGAGCAGCGGCCTCGCCAACCCTGACAACCCTCTATTTCCTGGCACTATCCTTGCACTGATGGCATCTTCTTACAGAGCTTTTGCACTTTGTTTTTTTTGTAAATTTGTCATTGGATTCGATTGGAGGATCCATCTTGTGTTTTTCCTTTTTATTATAATTGTTATTTTTTTTTTGTATAGAATTAGACACCTTTTGTTACTGACATCAGAATGCTGTGTAATATTGTAATCATCATGGCATGGTCTCAAAGAAGGGGTCTGTGACTGCTTATCAGAAGGGAATACTGATAAATAAACCAGCTCAGTTTAACACTGGCCGCATGATCATTTACAAGCCATCGGTAGAATTGGCATTTGTTAAACAGCACACTTCTATTGGCTGCACAGACATAGGTTCCTATGATGCCGTGAACAATTGCTGAGCACTGTTTAGCAGCTCTGATGCTTTTTCTCTCGCCAAAGCTCTTCTGGAATATTGGCCAATCATACATTGGTAATGGAAATTTGGCTGAATGAGATCCTACAGGTCAGTACTAAAAGTAAAAAGTGTTTAGCCTATCACTAAAAAGCCTCCATTTTGATTTAGAACTAGTTTTTACCCGCCAGGAATAAAAAATGTTTTGCTTCTCCCTGTTAAAACACAGTTTAACCCCTTCGTGACGGGAGACGTACACTGTACGTCCAGCCACAAAGGGACCAAATGACTTGTCACGTACACTGTACGTGACGAGTTATTTGCTGCTTTAGAGGGCTGTTAATCGCTGAGAATCAGCTTTTAACATTCATTAATGTATGCCCTTACTACAGAGGCATTCATTAATGAAAGGGTTAACCTTTTTCAGACACCCGATACCTTAATATCGGGTGTCTGAGAGTCAAAGCAAAGCGGACACAGATGCCGGCTTTTGCCGGCATTCTGACAGCTCGTATAGATCGAGAGATATCTCTCTCAAGCTATACTGGCTTTTTTTTTTTTCTTTCATGAATAGATACAAAATGTGTCTATTCCTACAATGTATCTATTCCTGGAAGAAGAATGTTTGTTTGCTGATCGTTGTTGCAACAATCAGAAAACATTTAGTAACAGCTGAATCCTGAACTGCTGCAGGATCAGTGTCACTAACTTATTATCGGCTGTTCTGAAGTTTGAAGCAGCCTGATAATAACCAAAAATTTATTAATTTATCATGCAGTAACAGTGAGATTAATTCACAAAATCTGCTTGATATAATTAAATAAATAAAATAACATTTTTAAGTTAAAAAAAAGTGAAAAGTGTAAAAAAAAAAAAAAATTGTGTAAAAAATAAAATAAAATAAAAGGGACAAATAAATGAATGTATGTATTGCATTTTTTTTTAGCTGTGCTGGTTTTGTAAAAAAAATACTACAAATCAAAACTGGGAAAAAAGTGTTTTTTTTAAACGTTTTTTTCCTCTTTTTTTATATTTTATTTGTCCTAAGTGAGGCGTTAGACGCACATATGTGATATAAATATGTAGCCCTATCTGTCCTCTAAAAAACAATATATAATATGTGTGGGTGCACTTTGTAAGAAAGTATATTACTGACGTGGAAGAATCACACAGCAAAAATGTCAAAAGTGTGTCAGTCATTTACGAACAGAAACTAAAAACAAGCTCAGTCATGAAGGGGTTAATTTTGAATAGACCGGGGAAGAGTTAACATTGTGCCTCCTTATTGTAGAGATTTTTCCCTTTCTTTCCTGTCCCTATAGGGTCTTGGATGGCGGTAAAAACCTGGCAAAGGCCCCAGACCCTTATAAGCTTTCTCAAAAACAGAATAAAAGTGTTGGCTGGAGTTGGGCTTTAAGGATACCCGAAATAAAACTCCCTGGCAGCAATACAATCAGATCAAATACAATTGGAAACAACAAATTACTTCCATTGCTGGCTAAAATTAAAGCTGGCACAAAAACTAATGTAAATATATTCTGCAATAGCCACAAAGAATATAAATCATTTTTGTGAGTGCCAAATGACTTTGCAAACCCAACTATTACCCTTTAAAGTAGCAGTGACATCATCACTGTGTTAAGTAGAGCTGTGGGAGGGGACCCAGCAGGCTCCACCTACTACAGGCTTCCTGCAGAAAACTACAGGAGGGGGCGGAGACAAGACCAGTCACCCTGCACAAGGAGAGAGAGCAGCAGTGAGTGGTCTTTATTACAGGAGGGGGTGGAGACAAGACCAGTCACCCTGTACAAGGAGAGAGAGAGCAGCAGTGAGCGGTCCGTATTACAGAGGCAAAGTTTCACACTAGATTTCTACACAGATCTGGAAGAAATACACAAAGCTCATCGAGATTCAAGTAAGAATACATGTAATTTTTTTATTTAGACAATATTTTCTGTTTCTGGAGTTCAGCTTTAAAGATAGATTTGTGTTGCAGGAATGTGGTGTATGTAATTGTGTCTGAATGTTTGCATAAAATACAGTTCACGTGTAATCGGAAAAGGAAACAAAAGAATTCTTGTAAAGAGCCTGTAAGAAAAAAAGCGGTAAGTATTGGCAGAAGATGGTTTATTGAAACAGACAGACAGGCTTGAGATGTAGGCAGCAGAAGACACATTCACAGCTTATAGTTCAGTGCTACACCCGGATGTATATTCTCCCTGAGCCAGAAATGGACATGAACCATCTCAGTATGCAAGGTTGGTTTCTGCGTTTACAATGCACAAAGCCAGGACGTGTTCAGTCGACAGGGTTATAGAAAAAGGCCAGCTGCAGCTTCGCAGGTCTGTGCATCCCCCCCACACTCCCCAACCTGCAGCAAAGTGGTATGCACCCATATGTAACAGAAAGTCAACAAATCATTGAAGCGCTAACCATTCCAAAAACATCACCTTCCTTTGTTGTATAGTAATGCATTGGCCTAAGACAATTATACAAAGTATAGAAACACAGAATAAGTATTTTATCAAATAGGCAAAAGGCAGCGTGTAAAGTGATAAACCGACGGGATGGACAGAGATCCAGTAATATGTATGATCAAGCTGTCTTGGGGGATGTTATCCTGGTACCGAAGGATTATCCCTACTACATTATGTGCTAGAATTCAAGCCAGGTAACAGGTGTGATGTGAGGCCTTGGTGCCAAATCTGTGACCCTAACACCACGTGTGGCCCTTTGTTTTTGTTTTTTACATAGTAGGCCCTCAGGCCCCAGCAATAAGTAGCGATATCATTGATTTGTAAAGGCGCCTTTAATGGCAGTAATATCTGGCATGTTTCATTTCACCTGCATGATTTCAGTCTCCAACCATTCCTATAGAACGGTCTCTGACCATTTACTCTTAACAGGACTATTCACAAAAGGGTGAGAAGTGAACAATCTAGGCCAAAATTGCTCCAGTTTCCAGTTCAGCTATGTTGTCCTAGATTGTTCACTTCTCCTGCTTTCTCCAAACTCTTCACCCTTTTGTGAATCACCTTGTCAGTACTTGGTAGCATTACATATAATAAAGATTAGGGATGCACCGATACTTGGCATTTTCATGAGAACTACCAGGGTTGCAGCTGGTAACTAGCTCTGGTGCTCCACGGCTGTCCTGAAGTCATTAGTCGATATTGTTTTAGAAAAACGGTCACATGACCATAAACAAAAATGTATCAGTACTTGCAAAAATGGTATCGGTGCATCCCTTTACTTATAAAAATAAAATCATACATTAAGACAGAGATGTACAAATCCCGGGAGCTCCGTGTGCTCCTTACAAATGACAGCTGCCTCCTAACTTTTGAGTTTTTCTCTAGTCTAGCTGGGAAAGTATCTGTACTTGTACCGAGTACGGTACTTGGTATCTGTGCATCCCTAATAAAGATTATATGTGGCCCTTTGGAGGCATCACAGGCCACATTTGAGGGCCCCCTATTCCTTGTAGGTTGACTACCACAGGCATTTGCGACATTTCTGGCGGTAAGGATATAGTTGTCCGACTACACAAAAAGCCAGCAACATTTTTATTTTTAGTATCGCTGTGTGCAACAAACTCAACTACGGTGCTGTTGTGAAAGATTCATAAAGAAACATTACGGTCTCTCTGTAACTGACCAGAACACATTACAATCTTTGTACATTCGCCTTCAGATTTACCAAAACTTTGTAATAAGGATCTGCCTAAATTATCCAGGCCGGCCATTGCACTACATAGTTGTTGGGAGATCTCAAGGAGATTGTAACATGTGGCAAGCTTTATATTCATGACTTTGTATCAGTATCCCACTGTTCTGAGACTATAAGGATGTGCTCTTTAAAGTGACACTAAACTCAGGTGTTAAATCTTAAAAATACATTCAAGTATCTTAACTAATAACATAAATGTATCTTATCACTCGGCTGTAGATCCTCAAATCATTTCTGAATTGGTGCTGACACTGTCCTTCCTTCTGGAGGGTGGCTACTTTTCTTCCCCATGGTCCCTGTGTGTGTTGTCACCGCTCCAAGCTCACTCCTGTGATGGACTAAATAAGATACATTTATGTTATTAGTTAAGATACTTTGAATGTATTTTTAAGATTTAACACCTGAGTTTAGTGACCCTTTAAGACCTCATTCACACACAACGGAAGAGCAAAATTGTACGCATATTTGTAAATGCGTA